ATATTTATTAAAAATAATTATTTTTTATTTAAAAAATTATAACAAATTTTAACTATTAAAAGTGAAAAGTTAAATTATTAAAATTTTATATAAATATAACATTTAAAATTTATATATAAATAAATTATTTCTTATTAAATATATATTTTAATTTTTAAGATATTAAAAAAATAAAAAAATTCACATACAACTTAGGGAACAAAACTTTAATAATAGGTTGAGAAGTGTTTTGCCTGGGTATTTGTGAGTGCAGTAGCTTACACGTATTTTCGTAGAAGTTATAAAATGCAGCGATCCAATTAAAGTAAATTAGAGATAAATTTTTTAGTAAAATTAAAAAATTTTAGGATGTTAAAAAATAAAAAAGAATTATATTTTATTGCCTGATTTAAGATAAAATATAAATTAAATGAAGTGGGTGTGGCCGTGTCGGTGGGTGAGAAAGTGGATTCTAGTTTTTTTTTTTTTTTCTTTAATGAGCATTTAATGGGGAATGGGCAGTGCTAGGGGCACTCGCCTTCTGCACTCTCCGGGTAACACTTTCATTTTTATTGAGCCACGTTATTTTGGTTTCGAAGAGGTTGCACTTCAAAGCAATGTTTTCAAAACCGGACCGGTCATTGAACCGTTTTCAGGTCCGGTTCCCGGTTTGACCGGTTCAACCGGTTGAACCGGTGAACCGACCAGTCCAAACAATAAAGAAGGTTTGATGAGAGGAGCAAGTTATAAGCATTGATTTTTTTATTTGGTGTTGATAATTTTGTAATTTTGTTAAAGTTAAAGGTTAAAATGGGTATAAGAAAGGAATGGGAAGGGTGAAATTGGAAAAAATTAAAAGAAGATTGCATGAGAAATTGAACCGGTGGTTTTTTTGGTTTCACCGGTTCTATCGGTTTTACCGGTTTTACCGGTTTTTACCGGTTTTACCGGTTTTTGACCGGTTTTGACCGGTTTTTACCGGTTTTAACCTAAAACGGTTTTCTTATGTGAACCGAACCGTTTTCATGACCGGGTACCGGTCCGACCGGTTCAACCGGCCGATCCGGTCCGGTTTTAAAAACCTTGCTTCAAAGCGTTAAACAAGTTTACGTGGCCCAATGAAAGGGGAAGTTTCGGCCACAGAGTGCAAGAGGCGAGTGCCCCTAGCACTGCTCATAGGGAATAAGACAGGGCTAGAGGGGGTGTGCTGATAAACAAGGGTCTGGTATTTTTCTCTTGAGCAGTGCTAGGGGCACTTGCCTGTTGCACTCTCCGGCCAACACTTCCCCTTTCATTGGACCACGTAAACTTGTTTCAGATTTTGAATGCAACCTCTTGCCGACCAGACTAACGTGGCCCAATAAAAGTGAAAGTGTTCACCGGAGAGTGCAGAAGGCGAGTGCCCCTAGCACTCCTCTTTTCTCTTTAAGAAATATGTGGGCCTCTTTGGGTTGCCTAAAACATTATTAGATTTAGGTAGAGAAAAATGGAGGACAGGACATTTGTTTATTTATATAATTTTTTTTAGCGCAACAAACACTTTCCATTACTTTCCATTACATTACCGTCATGCGGCATCTATAGCAAAACTTTATCTAACAAATAAGAGGAAATAACAAACAGAGAAAATACATTTAGAGAAAAAAGTTAGAGTAGCCCATTTCAACAGAGGATAAAATGAGGTGAACAGTACACTCAAACAACTGCAAGAAATAAGCTGTATAGATTTCGGTGGTCGAACGATCCAACAAACGAGACATCCTTCAATCTACTCATGTAAGATTTACGCCAAGTTTCCAAGACGTCAAGACGAGAAATCCATACAGGCGGTGACCATCCCCCTTCAGCATCATGAGAAGCGCGATGGCTGCTAGATCTGGGGAAATCGACGAGCACCTCCAGAGATCTACATGATGGATAGATGGGCCATCGGATCTGAAAGCAAACAAGTAAAACAGAAAAATAGAAAACCAAGAAAACAAAACAGGAAAACAAAAAACCAAAAAAAGGCCACTAGAAGGGGCCCAACAACGACAGACCACAATGGGTCATCGGAACAGGGAGCATGAAGCCAGCTTCATCATGCTTGAGCAACCAAAGATCCCAGCGACTCAAGCATCAAAAACTCAAAAGCCCTTGGGCTTTCGATCTCAAAACAATGAAACGCAAATGAAGGTAGTCAGAAGCAGGAGAAAAAGGTTCGACCAGACATTTGTTTAGTTAGTTATAAAAGAATTCAAAGAAAGAAGGAAAAAATTTTATTATTTTAAAATTATTTATTTATCCAAAAGGAAAATAAAGAAAAGGAGGAAAGAAAAATTTTAAAAAATAAAATAAAAGAATACAATTTTCCTTTTCTCTTTTTTCTTCTCTTTCATTTTCCTTAACCCAAACATTTTCTTCAGTAGACCA